AGAAGGTAAAGTGGGGACAAGAGGCAGGAGAAGTAACCTGAGGCCCCAAAGGCAAACTGGCTTACTGTGGTCATGGCAAAGTCTACCACTGAAGATTGGCAAGGAATTTACAAGGATTAAGTGGGTACACAATACTAAATGAGCACAGATAGTAACTCAGGCTGTGCAAACTTTCTAATAATAATAATAATAATAACAACAACAACAACAACAACAATAATAATAAACGTGGATGTTAAGTACACAATCCCCAGATAAAAATCATTACTGTCCAGTTTCTATGACCTGGGTTCTTTGTTGGCGGGGCAGGGGAGTGGGGCTGTCCTGTTGCATAAGAGAATCTTTAGCAGCATCCCTGGCTTCTACCTAAGAGATGCCGGTAGCATCTTCTCCTCACCAGTTGTGACAATCAAGAATGTCTTCAGGCACTGCCAAATGTCCACTGGGGAGTCAAAATCACCCCCAATGGGGACCACAGCGGTAAACCCCTCTAGGCTCAGTTTCCCTGCCTATGCAATGAATATAACCCTCTCTTCTTGCCTGCATGGAGGATCTGTCTTCTTACTTCATTCAAAACCTGCTGGCTTTCATTCTGCAACTGACAAGAAAGTGGAGATAGTGTTGTATAGAAAGGGCCCTGGCCGGAGTCAGATCAGACCTCTCAGTTCTGACTCTGCCACTTACTTACTATGTGACTCAAGGCAAATCATTCAACCTTTCCAGGCCTCACTTCATCTTTAAAATGAAACTTTGTCTCTGTACTCAAACTGCATTTCTTATTCCAGGTGGCAGCAAGAATATTTTTTTATTCTTCAGAACAATGCTCTATATATTCAGTATTTTATTTAGGTCTACTTTTACATTGCTATTACTTCATTTTGATGTGAAAATGGGAAAAGCTTATGACAATCTGGACAGCCTTGAGCTATTGGATTCTCTTGGAGGGAAGAAAGTCTAAAAGTCCTGTAATTTCATTGTTTTAGGATTGGGTCTGAGATATTATCACCTTATACAAGCTACCTTTGATTTAGACTCTTCTAAATACTAAGTGGTAAATTTTATCAAAGCTACTCTGCAGATTGATGTAAGAGAGAAAAATTTTAAGAAGAGAAAATTATAAAACAGAAGGAACTTGTCCAAAGCCACACTTTCTCCTTTAAATTACATTGCTTAATTGCTGTTTTCTTTCCACCACTTATCTGATGTGACAGTACCCCCAAGATGATTGCCAGGAAATTTTTAGAAAGAAGCTTTGTGCCATCTGAAAACTTATCTTGCTCTCAGGGCATTAATGAAGAAATTTATCATTGGCCCTGGATTACCATGAAGAAATCAGACATGGACTCTGAGCCGCAGTCAGAGTATCAAAACAATTGTGTAATGCCATGTTGTGACCAGCACAGCACGGTCTTGGGGAAAGGGGAAGACAGTGACAATAGCCTGGCATTACTGCTGGGTGGTTACCTGTCTGTGTCTGTTTCTACCCCATGACTGATTGGATCTGGCAGCAAACTGCTGCAGAGATGTTGTCCAAGGAGGCATGCAGCTGCTGTGATGGCCACCGTTGCTTTTTCTAAGCTTATCTGCTTATTAAGCAGATACTGCTTGCTTAGTCACTGTGAAACTATTAACATCTCACCTCAGTGCAGGTTTGCTCCTTTGGCTTGAGACTTTATCAATAGAAGATCTGTGCTGAAATGCATAAAGAACCAGTGCATGAGATCTGGAAAACTCTCCAGGGGTCTTCTAGGTGAAGCAGAGGCTCTTAGAAATGATGTCACTCACAGTCACACAGCAAATAAGTGGCTGAACTAGAACTAGATATTCTCCTTACTCTCAGATCATATTACTTTAGAGGACCATTACCAACATATTAGTTCCTGTAACAGAATTACTATACCAAATTAAGTAGCTGTCTCCTAGAAAAAAAAGACCTAAGGGAATGGGTCCAGAGACAGGTGAATTTTGAAATAAGGGAGTATGTGAAGAAAGGTATAAATTGGAAAATTCTAAAGATCCAGAGGCTTTGGGCCCCTGGAGAAAGAGTTCCCAAAGAGGATTAGGTACCGAATATGGTTTGATGATGGTATTGGTGGTAGTGGTAGTAATGGAGGTGATGATGGTTATGGTGATGATAATAGTGATGATAGTAGTGGTTATGGTGATAGTGATTGCTGTAATGATGCTGATGGTAGTAAAACACTCAATATTAACTTATTCATTCAACAAGTATTTATTGAGAATCTACCAGTCTAGATCTTGGGGTACAATTAAAAACAAAACATAGTTTCTGCCTTCACAGAGCTTTGACTCTAATAGAAAAGACAGACTGGTAAGAAGAAAATTTCAATACAGTATGGGAAATTCTCTGATGAAATAAACATATGGAAAAGCAAATCTCTCAAGTTTTGCTCAGAGTTTTCCCAGGACTAAATACTTGGCCTTAGCAGGTGTTGGGATATTGACCAAGGGGGTAGAAGAATGGCTGAC